AGCACTCATGCCTCGGATTTCATTTGCAAGTACCACTGCGAAGTCATGCCGGCTTTTTCTTCACCCCAAGTCAACCCTCATCCGTGAATACCCACCCAGGGGAACGTCTCAAAAACCTTGAGTTACCCAGACATGCCTCCATCATCCATCAACTTTTCTCCGCGCGAAATGTAATCTGAGATGTCTCCTTCCCAAGTGGAGTAGGTGCCCAGGCTACTCAGACTTTACCGAAGAACACCACCAGGAGGCAGACCACGGCACCTTCCATCGTTTGCTTGTTTTTATAGTGTCAACTGCACTCTCGCAAGCGAAGTCTTGGCGCGCACAAAGCCCAATTCGTAAAACTCTTGCCGAAACTCAGAATCTCACGCCCTTCGAAGTAATATCCTTCTTTTTTATCATCTTGAAAACTTGTCCTAATCCCTCTCACGTCCATCCCAAAAAATTATCTTCCCGGTTTGTGCGCCTGTTACGGGTTTTACCCGGTGTTAGTTGGCTGGGCTGACTTACTGGCCCAGCCTTGCATGTAAGTGGGATGCGGCAAATAGGCCTGTCTATTGCAACAGGTTATACGCTTAGTAAGTGCTTATGTAAGGTGGTCATGAGCACACACCTTACATTGGCTCTGTCCCACTGGAGTGTTCTCTTCATAGAAAATATAGATTATTTTGTGACAGCCTTTGCGTGAAGCGTCCGTGATTCTCGTCCCTTTGCAGCGCCGAGCTTTGCTTCCTTCGTCGGGTGTATTTATCGGCGTGGGCGTGTATTTGGCGGTCGACTGAGGCCAGAGAAGGTCGAAGAGTGGTGTGGTCATTGGGATGAGGATGTACTTGGTCGTACTTGTAGGCTCGATGAGACTTAGGTAGGAGTCAAACTCGTTGGGAGCGAAAAAACGACGTAGTTGAGTAATTTGGAATTTTGCCTCTTGGGCCAACTTCTTTGATAATGCGAAATTTAACTGAACTTGGCTCTTGGAGAATATTTCACTTCCAGGTTCGTAGAGGACACTGCGTACAGGTGTTTAGTCTTGCCCTCCTACGACAAGCTCTGCATGGCGCCGCATTTGCGACCCTTTCCTACGGGGCCGAGACCTGGTACTTGTAAAAGAAATCTCTAAAGACAATCTCGCGACTCCAACACGGGATGAACGACACAGCTCGAGTAGCCCTCCCAGTATATCGTACAACACTAATAGCAACACTGCTACGGGAAGCTAACTGGGACCCAGCCCAGACGTGGCTCTCCCGAATTCATAGTCGTCTAGCGGTTCGGATCGCTGCAGCTGACCTGTTGCACCCTCTTCGTAGGCGATGGAATACTTGTCGCATGCGCTGGATCTGTCAAAGAATTTGGCCAGAACTTTCCGAGGACATCATCCCGTGAAGAAAAGCTAATTGAAATTGGAGCAGTAGGTAGACTCCTAGGACCAAAGCCCTTCAAACAGTGACAGGCTACACACCTACCCTAGACTTGTTCGTATTCTCAGACGGAGCTCTAATCGAAGGCCGAGCAGATGCGGGTTATTTCATCTACCGAGGTCTTATGCAGGAGATTGGGCGAGGATTACTTGGCAGAAGTGTATGATTCTGAAATTGCTGGGGCCACGGAAGGTCTTACAGTAGCTCTTCGCAACCCACTGGCCTTTTTTGCCTCTAATATCACTGTCTGCCTTGACAAGCAGAAGACTGCCAACCGTCTCTCGTATACGCCCACAGCGTCCAGCTCGGCGAAAATGTTAATCTTTCGCACGCTCGCTATGAACTGGAATGCAGATCACGCGGTTAAAATACGACACCTGGGAAAGTAGCTATCCGATGGTGCACAGACCACACAGATATTCTCGGGAACGAAGCAGCCGACGAGCCTGCCAAAGCTGCCTGTGCAGCTCCAGCTCCAAACTTAGAACTTTCCATTGCGAAGGCAAGGAGAGAAGTCAAAGCCCAATACGAGGCTTCAGTCGCACTCTACTGGGCAGAAAATACACCGTCTAGATACAAAGAATAAGGTACTGTACTTAATACTAAGATCACCAATGGGCTTGTTCGTCTAGGGCGACGCACATTAGGATATCTATTAGCTGCACGTTCTGAACATGGCAATTTTGCAGACTACCACCGTCGATTTCAGCACGAAAACGCCACCCTTACCTGCTCATGCGGAGAAGAGAAGTCCCCCGACCACATTTTCTATTGCCACTTCGGGCAATACCAAGCTCAGCTCCTCAGGGCACAGAATTCTAATCCCAGGGTATCTTGGGCTCTTGCTTCGGCAGAGAGAGTTGATGCATTCAATAACTGGGTACGTGTCACTGATTTTTTCGAAAGGGCACAACGAACAGTCTGGTTCGAACGAAATAACGATCAGATGTAAACAATCTTTTCCTTTATTTTTTACTTTGTTTTATAAAATCTTTTTTTGATTTAGTACCAACTGCATAGCATGAGATTCGTTGGACGGACGACCTTCATATATACTATAATCTTCGAGCGCAGGATGATAAGATTCTGGCTATCATTTGCTTTGTTGGGTCTGTGTAGGAGCCAACACGCTGGGTAGTTTAATTTAGACTGGGCTAACCGGTACGTGTATTGTGAATACCACGGATTAGCTCCGATCGAGTCTCATTCAGCTTCCACTATCGCGGCACTTGGACACTCGGGCGCAGGTGGAGGGCAAGACTGAACACCTGTACGCGGTGTCCTCTACGAACCTGGGAGTGAAATATTCTCCTAGAGCCAAATTTAGTCAAATTTCGCAATATCAAAGAAGTTGGCCCACGAGGCAAAAATCAAAGTTACTCCTCCACGTCGTTATTTCGCTCCCAACGAGTTTGACTCCTATCTTTGTCTCATCGAGTCTACAAGTACGACCAAGTACAACCTCATTCCAATGACCACACCACTCTTCGACCTTCTCTGGCCTCAGCTGGTCACGAAATACACGCCCACGCCGATATTTATACCCGACGGAGGAAGCAAAGCGTGGCGCACAAATCTGGGAGACAGTTCTTTGGTATTGACGTGAGAGGATTCAGGACAAGTTTACACGATGATGCGGAGGAAGGATACAATCTCGGCGGGCGTGAGATTCCGAATTTCGGCAAGGAGTTTTACGAATTGGGCTTTGTGCGCGCCAAGACTTCGCTTGCGAGAGTGCAGCTGACACTATAAAAACAAGCCGACGATGGAAGGTGTTGTGATCCGCCTCCTGGTGATGTTCTCCGGTATAGTTTGAGTAGCCTGGGCACCTACTCCAATTGGGAAGGAGACATCTCAGATTATATTTCGCGCGGAGAAAATCTGATGGATGACGAAGGCATGTCTGGATAACTCAGGGTTTTTGAGACGTTCCCCTGGGTGAGTATTCACGGATGAGGGTTGACTTGGGGCGAAGAAAAAGCCACCATAACTTCGCAGTGGTACTTGCAAATGAAATCCGAGGCATGAGTGCTCTTCCCTTACGTTTAATCATCTATTCTGTACTTTTCTTTGATATTGTGTCATAGCTAGATAGCTGCATACGTACTTAAAATCTGATGCAAAAATAAAAAAAAACTCGGGCGCAGGAAGCTAGGAGATATTAGGGCATTGATAGCACAGCTGAGGACCTAATCACTCTGGCAACATCCCTACATCCGAGCGTTGCCTGGTAGACCAATGCCTCTAGAATGAGGAACACATTACTCTGATGGCTATCGAGAGGCATCAGCATATAATGTGACGATGGTGTATAGCTCTGTAATCCCGGAACGTCCACACTAGCAACCAGTATCAATGGTATGTTAAGTAAGGAGATATTGGTAGTGGCTATGGAAGTGGTTACTGTGATAGGAGTAGGAAGCACCTATGATGAGTGCGTGATCAGGACTGGGGGTTGAACGTGTATAGAAGGAAGCAATACTTCCGCAGATAGATAGACAACCATCTTACCAATGTCCACTCCAACGCATCACAGCTACATCAATTATAGCCGCTTATCCATAATCATCTGTATCCATTTCAGGTATTCCTCTGGTTTGGAAAATATGCTCTGTAAGATGTTATATGGATAAATATGACGAAATAAAGAAGACGTAAAATTTTCCAATAGGGGAACACTGGACTTATATACATCTAAGGGAGAAATTAGTCTCATATGCCTGTCAAACCTAGTGATGACCAGCCACCTCTCATCTACCATGATGAGCCAAGATACACTGTACTACGTAAATATCTAAACGTATATGCAATAGTAGGCGCGATTAGCGCACTCGGGACATGTGTAGAGAGAGTCGATCTTGTCGGGAACCTGAGACTAAACAGGTAGTGGTTGAGTCCTAAATTCGAGAGGCGGAATTTCCAACACTCTACTTCTCATGTCCTCGATATCATAACAAAGTGAGGAGCTCACGTGCTGTGCGCGGGCGCGACGTTAAATATTATATATATATATTGTAAAACTTGGAGGGGCTTCGTGTAAATGTCACGTGAATCGTCAAGAATGTAAGAGTAAAGGTATAGAATTATCTACTACTACGAGTCGAGCCTAGGACTATATTGTGTGAGTATCCCCTTGTGCGCTCCCTTGAGTATTGCCAGTAGCCAAACATCTGTGCGCGTAGATCTTACTTTCGCTTTTGGACTGGCGCGAAAACCCAGACTAACATAGGTCTGCTTACATATATGTTTGTTTGTTTTTTACTAGGCGCTTAGTGCAGTGCATCTCTCTGTTGCTGAGTCATTGTCTTGATGACTCAGCCAACAACGCGAACAGGACGTTCGCAGTGTTCGTAAACAGACAACAATATTGACAACAAGAATCTATACCTCACTTTCTTACCTTTCGTTTTGCATTGAACTACCCTCACGCATACGTAAAATAAGGCCAATCGACAATATGCATAAATAAATAAATAACCAGCTGTTAACCATCGAGAGCTAGTAAAAATGTAACTCTTCAGTACATTTCGCGCAGTAATACTTTAAGTTACAAATTTCAACAAGTTGTAGTTCTTGCTGACTTTAAATTCGGTAAACACACGGTTCCCACGTTGTGTCATGTAATTCGTAGAATCTGTAGGATGGTGGATCCATAATATCTTGAACCAAGTACCACTTCATACCTAGTCATACAGCAGATTGGTTAAGGAGAGAAATGTCAGAGGAATGGGAAACTCACCAATGTCGGTTGCATAATTGTAGAATTTAAATGACTTGCAATTCGTATATTGGGGGACCGTAGGTTCGATTGAATGCGTTAGCTCGATAGTTGCAGATCTTGCGGCAACCTCAATCACTGACATGGCATAATTTTTGCCACTTTTACATTCATAATAGAATTTTCCATTCACCGCAGGCATCAGCAGTAAAAGACCGGCTAGTGCTGCGTTTGTAGCAGCGCTGAGAAACTTCATTCCGAGAATGCACTTCTTTTGGAATCACAGAATATAGATGAGTATTGGTTGTGGACTTAACTTTGTTCGACGCCAATATGTATGATGGCGAGAGGCAAAAGAGCGTTGGTCTAATATCTCCAAGATATTCCTTTCCGCATCCAACATTCACTTATACAAGTAAATTTGACGAGATTTACTTGAAATCTACATTTGCAGTTGGAATAATGGACCTGGCAGCATATGGGGTCTATTCTATGGCCTGTTGCGCCTGAGGGATGAATGAGCCAAGCTCTGACTAAAAAGCTCCTAAACTAAACCATGAAATAAGTCCTCATTCAGCCGGCAAAGACGAATTCTTCACCTTCCAGTGGTGCCGGTGTAATCGCTCAGTATGCTCTGCATATCTAGGATAGCCAAGAAGAATCGCATCCGAATCGAAGTCGAAAGCAACCTCAAACACATCTCCATTTGACGACTTCTCGACAATGCCTCTCTTACTTTACTCATCTGGGTCCTCAAACTCTCTCTAACCACGCATCATCTCGCCTCGACGACCAATAAAGAAGTTCCTCCAAAAGCAAACAGGAGCTTGCTCCATTAATCTCCATCCATCACTCACTACAAACTTACGACGCTACGTGAACCCGCAAGGAGGAAATTAAGTCATAATATACAAATTTGGGGTCTTGGCTTATGGGGGGGTTGTAGCTCTAATGGGACAAACAACTCGAGGGAGAACAGGCGGCTGAGATGTGGAGCGAGAGGGGGAACAGGTCTCTGAAGACCATGCTGAGACTGATATTTTCGAGGAGTCTTAAACTTTGGATTTTTTGTGGGCGCCAAGACCGAGATTTCGGCTAATTAGCCAGGAGGGCTTCTTTTGTCGATGAGTCGACGGCACTCCCCAGCGCCCTGGACGGCACAAAAGAAGCTGGGCTAAGCTACCATACAGCAATCACGCTCTGTCAAGACTTTTCTGACATTTCACCACGACCTTCGGGAAGGAGTTGGAAGGAGGCTAGAAAGGCAGAGTGTGAATTCCCGAGGTACCCACAAGTCTGCAGCGCCCAGCTGGCCGGCCTCTTTGAACGCTTCAGAAGGGGCACTATGTCTTCGGATTTAATCCTAATGTCGGTATTAGGATAGCTCCGCACCCAGTGGTTTTTGCAAGTTTTCCCGGTTGCCATACACCCGCAAATGGTTATCGTTTCGTTGGCTGGAGAGGGGAGGTAATGAAGGGCAAAGGGCTTCTCAAAGTGTTTGATGGAATGAGGACTTGTGAGGGACGGTACTGTTTGATGGGAGTTGTATGGGAGGCATAGGAGGGGATAAACTATTGGCACAGGTATCGTTGGCCTGTAGGCAGAGAGGACCTGCATTTCCTATATGGTCATGGACTCAGAAACTACAATAAAATGAATTAAAAATCATTGGATGGCTTCTCCTCAATGGTCAAGGGTTAGTGACGAGAAGGGCTTTAACCCCATCATTTGATCTGATAGTGGTTAGCTTCATGATAGTTATAACGGGGGGTTTATGTTGAGGGATGAAGACAATACAGACCGCGAAAGCGATTGGGAATTCCCGTGCAACTGAGGAATGTGTTACTCAATCTCAAGTTTGCAACCTCAACCATGTAAGCTGAAGCTTCTTCTGGGACACCACTGACATTTTTTGAGAACAATCCCCTGAATTCCATGGGTATATTTTGTCATGTAGAGACATGATTTATTCATGAGTCGATATTATTCAGACGATCATGACTATATCACAACATCATGTTTAGACACGAATCATCGTTTTGCACTTGTTGTATCAACTATGACTATGTCTCCGTGATTGGAGAAACATCATTGACTAGTCACTAGAAGCATAGTCAAGATCCCAAACACACAACTGAGACTAGGAGAATTGTGCTGAGTAAGTAATTATTCTGATGAATTTAGATCTGGAGGAACATTATCTGGTTGCTTGGCTCGAGGTACATGAACTGGAGCATATCATGTATAATAAACTATATAGAAATTTATCTCAATCACAATCACAATCATCATCTTATATCATGTCACCATCAATAGCTGCAAAGGACAGTTTAACCATTTCCTTATATATTTTGAGCTGAATGGCTATCCATATGGGACAATATATAAGAAATATTACAAGTGTTGGAAGTACTACGGGGTAGTTTCACGACCGATCGTAATGATTCAGTAAAGAGTTGTACGTCTTAGAATAAGATTCTTGTATACGAGTGGTACGTAAGTACTGGAAATAGAATTGATAAAGTATTGAGTTAATCTATCGTGTATGTATCTCGCCATCGCAGCATCCTTCAATGCTGCGATCGTACTCCTATTAATATGTGTCTGCCAGCCTCGTCTATGGGCTAATACGGAACTACTAATACAGGGTATCTAAGATCTCCAAACGCCTTACCCTCTATACTCCAAAGTAAGTAATAAATACAACCATAACTCCATTATTTTCAGGTACAGGAATGATTGTGTTCGACCAACAATCTTGTAATTCAACAGTACGATCCTATGTTGGTCTAAATGTTCATAATTGTCCTCTCCTCTTCACTATACAGGATTCACAGCTATATAGTGGATACTAGGGTAGAATGGTGTAGTGGTACAACATTCGGGCCGTTCTCCCAAGTAGATACTGGGTATCTTGAATACCCACCCCATTCGAGACACGAGGAAGTTGCCTCGAATCCAGTAAAAGCCTGACACCACTCTCTCCCGCGGTGATATTGTACATAAAGGATGATGAAAGCGCACTCGGATAGCGACAGGTTTTTCACGCTTTTCCCTGTGGTGGGTATGCACGGAAGAGGTTATACGCCGTAAGGGTTAATCTCGAGTGGTATCTGCAAATGAAGTCTGGGTGTGAGGGTTCTAAATTCCAGATTGAGTCATCCTACTTAAAGTACATGTCTCCCGATAAAATCCTGCATGAGCCTCAAGGCGCCAGAATTGGATAATGAACCATATATACCGTGGTGCCACGATGTCAAGTTTTCAGTGGATTTATATGGGGCGCATATTCGCTACCGGGGTTGAACACCTGTTAGCGCCAATTTCGACAGGGTACATAATTCTTGTCCTGTATTTCCAGGCCTAAACCGTGGGCACAATTTGATTTCATGTCACCCTCAGTTTTATGCAAATCCAACCCGCTCTCTAGTTCTTTGCCATTGCTTTGATGAGCGCCGACCGCAAAAAAATTACACAGCTCTTCTCACCTTGTGCTTGAGTTACAATAAGAATTAGATTTCTCAAATACAAAGTTATTTATTCAGAAGACACATGGCTTTACTCGATAATAACCTTATTTTACAGATGAATCCACCTCAAACCCCACCTTCAACACCTCAATCAAACAATTATCCAGAGATCAAAACATTTTAGTAAGTAGAAAAATTAGATATGAACAAATGTAAATTAAAAGAAAAATTAAGATTTATGGGCTTCATGAATCTGGCAAAAACCAGACGCAGATTGCCGTGCAACCAGGCATTTCTCGGGGACAAGTTAGTTATTCACTGCGCCGCGGAACTGTCTCCCCCAAAAAGAGAAAAAGAACATCCTCATGGCTGAAAGCAGATGATGTTGATCAGATTTTATCTTACGTTGAGTCTTCACCTGAAAACCGCCGCAGAACATTTCTGGAACTCGCCTCTGGCCCCTTTAGACATCTTGGTGCTGGCGAGCGGGTAACACAAAGAGACCATAAAAAAAGAGGATATCAGCGATGTGTGGCTCGTCTAAAGCCTCCAGCATCTCAGAAAACTATGAAGATACGCAGAGAATGGGCTGAAGCTTACCTCAATTGGACATATGAAGACTGGACGACAGTTTTATGGACGGACGAAACTTGGGTAGAGGATGGAAGAAATTCTAGAGAATGGGTGACAAGAAGTGTTCGTATATTCCTCAATAAGAAGATGGTGATTTGATGCTCTAACATTATGAGCTAGACCTCCCAAGCATACAACGCTGATTGAGTTGGAGAAAAATCGACGAATAGGGTCGGATGGATGTTGTGGGGTTGCTTTGCAGGGCCAGAAAAAGGCCCTTGTTAGTTTTGGGAGAAGGAATGGGGTTCCATTAACTCCAAAAAAATATTGCGAAAAAATAGTTCCTCTTACCGATGGCACGGTCTCGATGAGACCTTGGCTTTCCGTAATGCAGGATAATGCTCCTGCCCACACAGCCGCAACTACAATGGAAGATATGAGCCAGAGGCTCATTCAACCGATTTTCTGGCCGGCCAACTCGCCTGATCTTAACCCGATTGAAGCTGTTTGGAATGAGATGAAGGATTACATCCAGCGTCATCGTCCGAATTTGGGTTGCGGAAACAGCTTACTTCAGAGAGTCTTGGCAACATTGTAAAGGAGGCATGGGATTCCGTGTCTTCCGAAGATCTTGTAAGACTCATTCAGAGTATGCCAGCAAGATGTCAGGCTGTGGTAGATGCGGATGGGGAACCGACCAGATATTAAGGCCTGAAAATATTCCAGCCACATGTTCAGATCTAAGGTTAGGTTAAGACTGGCTCTATCTTGTAATTTGAAAACCTTTGAACTCTTGTAAAGAAGTTATAAAGTCAAGTAGCAAAAATGCACAAATATTATGCAGCCGATCATTATACAAATTAGGTTTAGTACGAAGGAGAGACCCACTACAAACTATGGTGTCAAGATAAAATCTGCCTTACAAAATTTTTCTAAATTTGCACAAATACGGAGGCTAACACCAATATGGATGTGACTATGCCTAAGGCGTCTTAGTTTACACGCTAAATTCCCTGCCATAGCCCCGTTGCAAACTTGACACCGTGGCACAACGGTATATACTGTGGATTCTGGCTAGCGCATTCATGCTGAGGTCATCATGTGATCCCCTTATGATGACACATCTACTTTTACGTCTCAGACAATCCGACAACTAGCCACAGTAGGCTTCAGGAGCACGGTACGAGGTGTGTCCTGGGTCAGAGAGGAGCCC